CTGAAAAATCAGATGAAACAAAAAAAGTCGGTCTGATTTTCAGACCATCAGACTGATTTGGTCTGATAACGAGAGCCCTGCACCTCACTACAGCCTACAACAGATACCGTATGGCCCCGGATATAGGCGCCGTCCGATTAAAGGCGCCGGCGCCTCTATCTGGAGCATGGCGCTTATGGCCGGAACTCGATTATAAGCGCACCCCCTGAAAATTCTATCCTTATTATAAGCGCATCCCTTAACCTTTCATTGAAGGCATTACAAAAGATTTTACTAAACTGTCACTTTTTCTAAGCAACAACATCAAATTAAGCTAGATCTCCTAACAACAAGTTTAGCCGGGGTACTTCTACCTAACATGGATCATACAGTACCCCTCCTACTCCTCCTCGTCAGATTCGGGCTCCTGGCAGTTCTTGCCAAAAAAACCATCAGCGATGATGTCATCGTCGACATCCACTTCAGCTGTCAGCTGGCTCCGCCTGTGCGCCATGGCGAGTCCGCCTCACTGCCGTCAAGCTGGTTGCTGATGCCACAGGTGAGGAAGGCATGCTTGATGAGGTCGGGCGGCACTGCCTTCCAGGCTTGTGATACCCACCGCAGGACGACCTCTGGTGAAGGCTTCTTCAGGTTCCCTGAAACATTACGGGAGAACGGTGGAAAGCAGTTAGTGCAACAACAAAGAATTCGGGGGGGGGGGGGGGGGGGAATACCGTACTCATGCCATACCTGCTGCCGTCAACTGCTCTTGCCCCTCTGCCTCAAACCACCTCTGGTACTGCTGGCGGACCGACGCCTTAAAGCTCTTGTTGATGCAGACATCGAGCGGCTGTACCTCCGCCGTACAGCCCGACGGGATGATCGCCGGCACGCAGTTCATCTCGCGGAGCTTCTCCTTCACCTCCTCGGTGAGGTGACCGCGGTAAGAATCCAGCGCCAGCATCGAGCTCTTGGCGTGTCTGCCGAACCGAGGCTTCAGGAACGGCTTCACGCCCTCCTCAAGCCAGCGAACGACGCCAGGGGAGTCCATCCACCCGTTCTCATGGCAAGCCACGGCCACATCTGCATGAAACACGCACGGGTGGTTAGAATTCGAACTCTGAAAAGAACGCAGTGACCAAGCCGTGCACCTCTTTACTTACCGGCAGGAAAATTGCCCTTCGGCAAGGTTTTGCGCTTGAAGAACGGGCTGATTGCCAGTGAGTTGCGGAGACACAGGACCCGGAGGCGGAGGAGCAGGAGGAACAGGAGGCGCAGGAGGTGCAGGAGGCGAAGGAGGAGCAGGAGGCGCAGGAGGCGCAGGAGGCGCAGGAGGCGCAGGAGGCGCAGGAGGCCGTGGTGGCTCTGGTGGTTCTGGTGGGATACGGGAGTACCACCCGTCAGTGTCTACTCTAAACGCGGGCCTTCGCGTAGGCTTTTTCTTGAACAAGAAGTGGGTGCCGCTGAATTCCGCCATGGCTTCCGCAGCCAGGCGAGAACGACCAAGAAACTGAACGAGAAACTGAGAGAAATGGAGAACAAATGAGAGATTCAAAGGGACCCCTTCTGGTTAGCGCCTCGGGGTCCTCGTCGGGGAGAGACGGGTACCCCTTGTCTGAACCCGGAGAGGAGGTTATCGCGGCACGAAGATGTTGCGCTGGCAGGGCATTCCTGCCCCTTCTCGATGGTTCGGGTGAAATGCAGCTGCCTGCCAGCGCATGAAAGCCTGATTGGGCCGCAAAGCAACTTTCACGTTAGCGCTGGCAGGTGCGCTGCTCCTGGACGGGATTTGTGCGGTCGGGAATCGAAGCGCAGCAGTTTTCGGCGGGATTACATGCATTATCCCACGCGCACGTTACTCAATTGTGTTCGCCTTATTGCGGGCTTCGATTTGGTACATAAAAATAACAAATTCATTTTTGCCATGATATAAGCGCCGGCGCTTATGGCCGTTATTCAATTACAAGCGCCACCCCTAAAAAAAATGATTTTATTATAGGCGCATATGCACCTATATCCGGGGTAATACGGTATTATATTTTGACATGCATTTATTCGTTCTTTTGAAAGACCAATGCGGTGAAATCAAGCTTAAATGCCAGTACACAATTCAGAGCAGCTATATTTTCACACCTAGCTTTAACCAAGACTGCGAAGGCATAGAGATGGGAGCCCCTCATTCCTGGCTCTGATCTTCAGGCAGGTGGGTGTGATCCTGAGAGGGCTCCCGCACCCACCCCCACCAAAGCCAGAGCGCTTGAAGGCCTCCAGTCTGCATGGGATGCCACTTCACTGCAGCTGCCCCACACACCCTGCCCCATAACACCCTCCTTGGCCCCATCACCACTACCCTCCCCACTGTGTGATCCCCTCATCTTCTTCGCCACACGTCCCCCACCATCCTGCACCCTCTCTTCCACCCTCTTGCCCGCCACCGGCACCGCACCATGCTGAATGCCATGCGCGCCAGCCAGCCCACCCACGCCATGCAGCCACTGCGTGCACGCCTTCATGTCATCCAATGCCAGCCCATCACCACTGCCCATCGCAGCAGCCCCATCCGAACCACTTGCATCTCCCCAGACCGCCTCCAGCGCCTCTGAAGTGTCGTCCACGCCAGCACCCGTGCCTGCACAGCAGGCGCCAAAGGCGGTGCTGGGTGTGGGGGGCGCGCTGGAGGCGCCTGTGCCGCCACCCGCCACAGCCGCCAGGTCGCCCGCCAGCACGCGCCTGTGCCGCTGTTCTGGGTCGCTCAGATACACGGGGCCCCCTTCCGCCCTCCCCCCCGCCCCCTCATCCACACGCCCCCCACCGTCGCCCACAGGCCATACTGAGTCGTCTTCAGCCATGCTGCTTTCTGCCTTCTCCCCTTCGCCCCCCACCCGCTTACCCGCCTGTCCTTCCTGCGGCCGCTCCTGCGACTGCCTCGGGCCATCCACGCACCCCTTCTTCTCCACGCCAACAACCCTCGGCCTGCCTCGCGGCCTCCCTGTAGGCCCTTTGCTCTTCCGCCCCCTGCCGCTCGCCCCCACTCCGGCACCGCCGCCCAACGGTCCCTTGCTGCCCCGCCCCTCGTCGCCGCCCGTCCGCTGCGCGCTGCCATGCAGCCCCGCCCTCGCTGCTGCAGGGCGGCCAGGACCACCGCCGTCCGCGGGTCCGACAGGGCGGCTAGCGCCACACGCGCTCATCCGCCAGGTCTCCGCTTCGCCCTCGCCGCGCTGCTCACTGTTCCCATTTCCTGGACGGCCCGCTCTTTGCCACTCAGCCGCCCCCTCGCTGTCCTGGAACTGAACCACTGTGCGGCCTTCCTTGATCTCGTCGCGCCCAGCCTCGTGCGGCTCTCCCCATTTCGTCGCTTCTACTTCGCCGCTCCCGACGCCGCCAGTTTTGGCATCTGCAGGCGACGCAGTGGCGGCGTTCGACAGCGCGCGCGGCGTTGAGGCGGGGGATGGAAGACGAGCAGAGGCCGGAATGCGAATCAAGGGCGGAGCGTGCGACGGAGTGAGCGCGGCGAGCGACCCCTTCTTGCCGCTGCCCTTGGGCCGGCCTCGCTTCCTCTTCACCACCACCTCTCCCCCCTCCCCCCGTTCCTCCGCTCGCACCACGACGCCGCCGCCCACGTTGTGAGTTCCTGCGCTCGGCGCGCAGCCCGCAACGACAGCTGCCGCCTGCGACGCTTGGGCGGGAAGAGAGCCCTCGTCCCCGCCAGCCAGCGAATACTGGGCGACGGGCCGAACGGCAGAGTGCAGTTGGCCGCCACCATTGGCTGGCAGCGCGCCGTTCCTCCGTCCGTCGCCGACGGGCGACGTAAACGAGCGACGTGCGAGAAGCGCAGCAGCATTCGGAGCGGAATAGTCATCAGCCGCGGCAACAGCGGCGGCGCCATCGTCATCGTCGTCCGCGAGGACCACCGTGGCGAGTCCCGCCTGCCGCCGCCCGTCGTACCAGCTTCCCGCGCACTCGTCTGCGGCTTGCGCGGCATCTGGCACGCAGGGCTGCGCGGAGCAGCGGAGCCACGTGAAGGCGGAGTCGAGAACCGCCAGCACCTCCGCCTCGCGCGCGTCCAGCACCGCGCGCAGCCGCGCCATCCGCTCCAGCTCGCGCTGCACCGCCGCGCGCCTCACGGGGCCGGACGCAGCGGCGGGTGTCACAGTGGAGGAGGGAGCGCGCGGTAAAGGAGGGGCCGGCAAGGGCCCTTTGCGACACGGCGCGGCAGTGTCATCCGGATCATCGCTGTCCCCGTCGTCGCGACTCAAGTGCGGCGGCGACGCGGAGGCGCGCCAGCGGAAATGGCCGTCCATGGCTGGCAGTAGCCAGAAGACGCAGGGCAAGTTTGGAAATTAGTTTCGCTACCGTCGTTGGCTGGAGAAGCTGATATGGGAGCAGAGAGCAGAAATGCCTCGTTCGCAACGCCAACAGCAGCAATCACTACACCTCTCAGGTGATGGGTGCACATTTCCAGCTTCCAAGTCGCGCGCGCCATGCCATGCGCTCGCACACCACAGTTGGCCTTGAACGGGGGAGCAGCATGCCGCCCCTCCGCGACACTGTGCTGGATGGAGGAATCGTGAGGGGGGTTGCCCCGTCAGCAGCTGCCCTCACAGCATCAGCGTCAGCTTCGGCGATCGCCTCAGGCTCGGCACAAGCGTGTGAGACTGACTTGAACGTCGGGGATTGGGTTATGCGCGCCAAGACTGAAGTTCGGCAGCCAATGGGTGCGATTGTTGACGGGTGACCTGGCGAGGCTTCAGCGAAAGAGATTTTGAATCGAGCAACTTCATTTCATCCAAATTACAACCCATTACAGAACAGACTTGCAAGTGTAGTAGAATCCGTACAATGGGAACTCGAAAATGTGATATACTGAATGTAACATTCACTCACACACCTCTCACCACAACAGCACCACCACAACACAAGCAGCGGCCACGCTCCATCCCATTCCACATTTCACAGTGATCACCGCGACCAGCACCACGTACAGCATCGCAACAGTCCGCCGCCATTATCCGCCCGCCGCCATGACCGCCGTCTCCATCTCCGCCGCCTGCAGCGACTGCCTTCTCCCACGCCGCCCCCTCTGCCCTCACGCGCCTCCGCGCCGCAGCGCCCACGCCAAGCCGTTCCCCAGACACGGGTTCACCCCGTCCCTGCCCGCTAGCCTCCTCTCGAATCCCCGTGCCGTCTGCCGACCGCCGCGCGCTGACCGTGCTGCCGCACCGCGCGCGCAATCATCGTCGCACGACGATCTCGAGGGACGACGGCAGCGCGACACGTGTCTATCCCGCCGTGACGCCCTCCTTTCCCTCGCGCTGCTCCCCCCTTCTCTCTCCGCTGCCACTCTCCTGTCCCCGTCACCGTCCCTCGCCGCGTCGCCGGCGGCCCCCGACACGACCGTGACGCACCGCGCGTTCCTCGATTTCGCCGTGTGCCCCACGGCCGTGCGCCTCGACCGCACGCTGGGCGACGACGCGCTCATCTGCGCCGACGGCGAGCCGCTCGGGCGCGTCGTGCTGGGGCTGTACGGCCGCGCGGCGCCCGACACGGTGGCGCAGTTCGTGCGCATGGTGGCGGGCGACGCGGGGTCGACGTACAAGGGGAGCGTGATACACCGGTCGCTGCCTGGGCAGTACGTGCAGGCGGGGCATCAGGGACAGGTGGCGCGCGGGGACGTCGCTCCGCCGACGCTGCTTCCGTCGAATCGCGACACGGTGGCGGCGGCGTCGTTTGCGCTGAGCCACCTGCGGCCCGGCACGCTGTCGCTGTGCGTGGGGGAGAACAACGATGACGAGCGCGCGCGCTCCAGGAGCAACTACCGCAACGTGGAGTTCCTCATCACCACCGGTGCGAGGGAAGGGGAAGGGGGGAGGGGGCGGGACAAAGGGGAAAGAGGGAGAGGGGAAGGGGGGTGAAGTGGGGGGAGAGGGGAAGAGCATGCCTAATGCTCACCCACTCCTGCCCATGCCCATGGCCATGGCCATACCCCATCCGCACCACCCCATTCACATGTTGCCCCCCTTCGCCCATGTGGGCACCCACACCACCGTCCCCATCCCCATCCCCATCCCCATCCCCGTCCCCATCCCCATCCCCGTCCCCATCCCCATCCCCATCCCCGTCCCCATCCCCATTTCCGCAGTTGATGGACGAGTGGCCAGCAGGTCGGTATGTGTAGCCTTGGCGGTGCACGTGACAGCATGCTCGCCAATCATCCGTCCCTTGCTCACTGCTCTCTTCGTCCCTTTCATCTGCCGCCCTCATCTGCTGCCTCCTTCCCTCATTGGCCACCCCTTTTCCCTGCAAGCCCTAATCTCTCCACTCAGCTTCACGGCCTACCTGTTGTGAAGCACACGCCTTCCCCCTCACTCCCTGCCCCCTCATCTCAAAGCCCTTCCCCCCTCATCTGTCACCGGCTTTTCCCCATCAGGCCTGCGCCCCGTGACTCAGCTCGACATAGACTCCGCGTTTAAGACATGTTACAGCCCGCTGCCTCCTCAGATTTTCTCTTTCTTCCCCCCTCCCCCACCAGGCCCTGGCCCAGCCACGCAGCTGGACGGCGACAACATTGTGTTTGGCACCGTGCTGGAAGGTGAGCGTGGTGCACGGGGCGTGGGGTTCCAGATTCAAGGTGAGCGTGGTGCACGGGGCGTGGGGTTCCAGATTCAAGGTGAGCGTGATGCACGGGGCGTGGGGTTCCAGATTCAAGGTGAGCGTGGTGCACGGGGCGTGGGGTTCCAGATTCAAGGTGAGCGTGGTGCACGGGGCGTGGGGTTCCAGATTCAAGGTGAGCGTGGTGCACGGGGCGTGGGGTTCCAGATTCAAGGTGAGCGTGGTGCACGGGGCATGGGGTTCCAGATTCAAGGTGAGCGTGGTGCACGGGGCGTGGGGTTCCAGATTCAAGGTGAGCGTGGTGCACGGGGCGTGGGGTTCCAGATTCAAGGTGAGCGTGGTGCACGGGGCGTGGGGTTCCATATTCAGGGTGAGCGTGGTGCACGGGGCGTGGGGTTCCATATTCAGGGTGAGCGTGGTGCACAGGGTGAAGGGACTACGGGGGATATGGAATGCATGCTTGGAGGGGTGGGTGGGGATGGCGGGGGTGGGAGAGAGCACATGGCAGCTGGCTGTGAGGGCATGGCAGGGGCTGAGTGCACTTATGCCGCACCACCCCATGCCTTCCGCTCCCTTCTCCCATCCCACCTGCTTCCACTCCTGCCCTCTCGTTCTGCTCTCTCCGCACCTAACCCCATGGTTTCCCCCCCCCCACCCCATGCTCCCTCCCACCCGCCCCCGAATGCACCCACCTGCCACTGTGTGCACGGGCAGGCATGGAGGTGGTGGCGGCGGTGGCAGCGGTGCCCACCTTCCAGCCCAGCGACCGCATCCGCCAGTTCAACGACTTTGCCACCGAGGGCTGCGGCACATGGAACTGCCTACCTCTTGTTCTGCTCTCTCTGCACCTAATCCCATGCTTTCTCCCTCCTTCCCCCCTCCATGCTCTCTTCCCCACCCACCCCCACCTCACTGCCCTCCGCATGCACCCTGTGCGGGCAGGCATGGAGGTGGTGGCGGCGGTGGCGGCAGTGCCCACCTTCCAGCCCAGCGACCGCATCCGGCAGTTCAACGACTTCGCTGCTCTGCTGGGGGACGACCGTGCCGCCAAGGGCCGTGGCACGTGGAACCGACCTCTTAAAGCCATCGTCATCCAGGACTGCGGGCTGCTGGAGTGACCCACTGCAGCCGGCCTGCTTAGGTGACGAGTGCAGGCTGGTGGAGGCACACACCCCACCCCTCCCCGCCCATCCACCGCCCTGAGTTGCCCTCTGCCACCACTCTCCTGTCCCAGCTGCCTCCCTCACGGAGGTCCACAATTTTTATGCATGGCGGGTGTGCACTGCTGCTTGCCCCTGCGTTGTGGGCGCACATCGACACAGGCCGGGACGGTGCAACCGGAGCTGCGTGCTGCCAGGACCGGTGGAAGCTATGCGTGCTGCACCCCTCCACGCCTTGCACAAGTCACGTGTGGTTCCAGTTTGTACATTCTTATGCTGCTGGTAGAATTTTGGCAATACGGTATTTATAAGACATTTGACTTAGGATAGTTATACATGAAATTTGGCAGTCCAATCTCAAATCTTTGCAAAATCAGGTACGAGAACTAGGGAAGCATGCAGCCTAGGAAGCAGCAGAGGAGACAGGAGGTGGTGCGGTGGATGAGTCGACTGCTTTCTCCGCCTCCTTGTTCACCACCTGCCGTGCCAGTGAAGAGGGTACAGAGGAGCAGAGAGGGGCACGCGGAGAGAAGGGAGATGAGAGGTGCGGGAGTGGAATCAAGGGTACTGATTGCTGATGTAGGTGTGGTAGCATGCATGGGTGATGGGTGGTGGGGATGCCGCACACATGGGATGGATGGGGGCATGAGTGCATGTGATGGCAGCGTGAGTGCATGTGATGGCAGCGTGAGTGCATGTGATGGCAGCGTGAGTGCATGTGATGGCAGCGTGAGTGCATGTGATGGCAGCGTGAGTGCATGTGATGGCAGCGTGAGTGCATGTGATGGCAGCGTGAGTGCATGCAGGGGTGCAAGGGCACCAAGGCACACACCTTGTTGTTGATGAGGTTGTGCAGCGCGATGATGGACCGCACCAGTGATGCCACGTACACCGCCAGTGTCATGTCGTTCGTGCGCACTGCCATGCCATGCCATCAGTGCCATGCAGAGGGACAGTGGGAAATAGGGCAGGAAAGAAACGGGGCAACATGGGTGAGAATGTGCGAATGACTGGAGCACACATGTGCAGAGCGTGCAGGGACGAGGTGCAAGCAGTGCAGCACACATGTGCAGAGCGTGCAGGGACGAGGTGCAAGCAGTGCAGCACACATGTGCAGAGCGTGCAGGGACGAGGTGCAAGCAGTGCAGCACACATGTGCAGAGCGTGCAGGGACGAGGTGCAAGCAGTGCAGCACACATGTGCAGAGCGTGCAGGGACGAGGTGCAAGCAGTGCAGCACACATGTGCAGAGCGTGCAGGGACGAGGTGCAAGCAGTGCAGCACACATGTGCAGAGCGTGCAGGGACGAGGTGCAAGCAGTGCAGCACACATGTGCAGAGCATGCAGGGACGAGGTGCAAGCAGTGCAGCACACATGTGCAGAGCGTGCAGGGACGAGGTGCAAGCAGTGCAGCACACATGTGCAAAGCGTGCAGGGACGAGGTGCAAGCAGTGCAGCACACATGTGCAGAGCGTGCAGGGACGAGGTGCAAGCAGTGCAGCACACATGTGCAGAGCGTGCAGGGACGAGGTGCAAGCAGTGCAGCACACATGTGCAGAGCGTGCAGGGACGAGGTGCAAGCAGTGCAGCACACATGTGCAGAGCGTGCAGGGACGAGGTGCAAGCAGTGCAGCACACATGTGCAGAGCGTGCAGGGACGAGGTGCAAGCAGTGCAGCACACATGTGCAGAGCGTGCAGGGACGAGGTGCAAGCAGTGCAGCACACATGTGCAGAGCGTGCAGGGACGAGGTGCAAGCAGTGCAGCACACATGTGCAGAGCGTGCAGGGACGAGGTGCAAGCAGTGCAGCACACATGTGCAGAGCGTGCAGGGACGAGGTGCAAGCAGTGCAGCACACATGTGCAGAGCGTGCAGGGACGAGGTGCAAGCAGTGCAGCACACATGTGCAGAGCGTGCAGGGACGAGGTGCAAGCAGTGCAGCACACATGTGCAGAGCGTGCAGGGACGAGGTGCAAGCAGTGCAGCACACATGTGCAGAGCATGCAGGGACGAGGTGCAAGCAGTGCAGCACACATGTGCAGAGCGTGCAGGGACGAGGTGCAAGCAGTGCAGCACACATGTGCAGAGCGTGCAGGGACGAGGTGCAAGCAGTGCAGCACACATGTGCAGAGCGTGCAGGGACGAGGTGCAAGCAGTGCAGCACACATGTGCAGAGCGTGCAGGGACGAGGTGCAAGCAGTGCAGCACACATGTGCAGAGCGTGCAGGGACGAGGTGCAAGCAGTGCAGCACACATGTGCAGAGCGTGCAGGGACGAGGTGCAAGCAGGGCAGCACACATGTGCAGAGCGTGCAGGGACGAGGTGCAAGCAGTGCAGCACACATGTGCAGAGCGTGCAGGGACGAGGTGCAAGCAGTGCAGCACACATGTGCAGAGCATGCAGGGACGAGGTGCAAGCAGTGCAGCACACATGTGCAGAGCGTGCAGGGACGAGGTGCAAGCAGTGCAGCACACATGTGCAGAGCGTGCAGGGACGAGGTGCAAGCAGTGCAGCACACATGTGCAGAGCGTGCAGGGACGAGGTGCAAGCAGTGCAGCACACATGTGCAGAGCGTGCAGGGACGAGGTGCAAGCAGTGCAGCACACATGTGCAGAGCGTGCAGGGACGAGGTGCAAGCAGTGCAGCACACATGTGCAGAGCGTGCAGGGACGAGGTGCAAGCAGTGCAGCACACATGTGCAGAGCGTGCAGGGACGAGGTGCAAGCAGTGCAGCACACATGTGCAGAGCGTGCAGGGACGAGGTGCAAGCAGTGCAGCACACATGTGCAGAGCGTGCAGGGACGAGGTGCAAGCAGTGCAGCACACATGTGCAGAGCGTGCAGGGACGAGGTGCAAGCAGTGCAGCACACATGTGCAGAGCATGCAGGGACGAGGTGCAAGCAGTGCAGCACACATGTGCAGAGCGTGCAGGGACGAGGTGCAAGCAGTGCAGCACACATGTGCAGAGCGTGCAGGGACGAGGTGCAAGCAGTGCAGCACACATGTGCAGAGCGTGCAGGGACGAGGTGCAAGCAGTGCAGCACACATGTGCAGAGCGTGCAGGGACGAGGTGCAAGCAGTGCAGCACACATGTGCAGAGCGTGCAGGGACGAGGTGCAAGCAGTGCAGCACACATGTGCAGAGCGTGCAGGGACGAGGTGCAAGCAGTGCAGCACACATGTGCAGAGCGTGCAGGGACGAGGTGCAAGCAGTGCAGCACACATGTGCAGAGCATGCAGGGACGAGGTGCAAGCAGTGCAGCACACATGTGCAGAGCGTGCAGGGACGAGGTGCAAGCAGTGCAGCACACATGTGCAGAGCGTGCAGGGACGAGGTGCAAGCAGTGCAGCACACATGTGCAGAGCGTGCAGGGACGAGGTGCAAGCAGTGCAGCACACATGTGCAGAGCATGCAGGGACGAGGTGCAAGCAGTGCAGCACACATGTGCAGAGCGTGCAGGGACGAGGTGCAAGCAGTGCAGCACACAACTCACCAGCAAAAGCCTTGACAAGGTCGTCCACATTGAGGTTGGGCAGGAGGTTGAAGGCGTCCTGCACGCCGTACAGGATGTCCGCCCGCAGTGGCAGCCGCCCCGCCGCCACCAGATCCAGATACGACCTCAGCTGCCGCAGCCGCGACTCCAGACCCTTCAGCGCCACCAGCTTCGCACTCACCTGGGGGGGGAGGGGGAGACAGGGAGATGGGCGGGTGAGGGAACACAAGGGGGCATGGAGGAGGATTCTTGAATCGACTCAAAGCAGCCGCCCCGCTGCCACCAGGTCCAGGTACGACCTCAGCTGTCGAAGGCGTGACTCCAAGCCCTTCAGCGCCACCAGCTTCGCACTCACCTGGGGGGGGAGGGAGGAGGAGGAAGAGGCACAAGAGAGTACGGAGGAGCATAAAGGAGCACGGGGAGCATGAATACTAGCACAGTGCGCGTATGAATTTTGTTCCAGAAGCGAAGGAGCAGTGACTAGGCATGCGGCACACGAGTGCATGGGCACAGTGATTGCTGGAGTGCGTGTGGCAGGGCGGTCATTCAAGCGCGCACCTCAGAGGCGAGTGTGGTGATGCGCGCACCTCAGAGGCGAGTGTGGTGATGCGCGCACCTCAGAGGCGAGTGTGGTGATGCGCGCACCTCAGAGGCGAGTGTGGTGATGCGCGCACCTCAGAGGCGAGTGTGGTGATGCGCGCACCTCAGAGGCGAGTGTGGTGATGCGCGCACCTCAGAGGCGAGTGTGGTGATGCGCGCACCTCAGAGGCGAGTGTGGTGATGGTGGCGTCCTTCACATCCCGCAGTAGATGCTCCACTCCTGACAGGGGGCGAGGGGGCCACGTGGAGAGCGGGACACGCGGAGAAGGGGCAATGTGGAGAGGGGGACACGTGGAGGGGGGCACGTGAGTGGGTCAGTGGCGTGGGGCCATGAGGAGGACAAGATATTGGGGTGAGAAACGGGGAGCAGATGACACGCAAGGAGGAAAAGACGGAGGTGAAAAGGAGTTGCGCGTACATCCCTATCATACCACCCTGCTGCCCTCCCACCTTCCACAACTCTCTGCACCCTTCCCACCCTATGCGCTCACCAATCTCCTCGGCCTCATACGCGCCGATCTCCGATGAGATGTGCACAAACGCCTTCTGACTCTTCTGCGTGCCGTCCTGCTCCATGCATGCCATGCCACGCCATGCCATGTCATGTCATGTCATGTCATGGCATGCCATGCAAGGTGACATCCACCATGCGGCAATGAATGAACCATGGAGGGCAGTACCATGCTCCCAACAGCACAACAAAGGGACCACAACCAACTGCAAACACTGCTTTGTGTGAAACGCCTCATCACCCCCCATCTTCTCTCAGCTCCACCACAGGCCACTGGCCACTGGCCACTGGGCTCACCTCCTTGGCCTACCTCACGTCCTCCTCGCCCCCCTTCCCTGCCGCTCACCTCCTCCCCTGCCGCTCACCTCCTCCCCTGCCCCTCACCTCCTTGACGTCCTCGACGGTGCAGTAGGCCTGTGAGGGGATGGCCAGCTCACGCGGCTGCACGTCGATGATCACCAGCACTGGGTCGCTGCAGTAGCTGTGGGATGGTGGATGGAGGGCGGGAACACACATAAGTGGGGGGTTGGAGAGGCGGATGGATAACCAGCTAGCGCGGCTGCAAGTCGATGATCACCAGCACCGGGTCCCTGCAGTAGCTGCAAGACGGATGGGGGAGACGGGTGAACGGATGGGCGGATGGGTGCGCAGGAAGACGGGTGGGTGGATATGTGAAAGATGGATTGATGGGCGGATGGGTGCATGGGTGGGTGCATGGGTGGGTGCATGGGTGGGTGCATGGAATCACGGCTCACTCACTTGTAGAAGAGCTCCTGGATGTCGAGGTCGCTCTCGCGGATCTTGATGGGTGCATGTGTGCATGGGTGCATGGTTGGGTGGAAGGCTCACTCACTTGTAGAAGAGCTCCTGGATGTCGAGGTCGCTCTCGCGGATCTTGGGGCCCGTCGAGTACCACCCCACCACTCGCTCCTTGGCTGCTCGCACCGCACCGCACCGCATCACCCGCATGGCGTGGGGTGGGGTGGGGGGGCACACATGCAGATGGGGTGCACGGAGGCATATGATAGGCGAGAGTGAGCGGGGTGAGGCGCATGCTTGCGTGGTGCATGCACATACACTCAGTGAAACACGCAGCAGCTTATGACGGGTGCGAACGAACGGGCCTCGTGTAAGGAGGCAAGTACGGTGCAGGGTGCTAGTGTGAATGGCGGAAGCGGTGGATGAGCGCACCGTTGATCTTCTTGAACATGGCGAACATGGCCTCGTGGTAGTTGTGATCCAAAAACCAGATGCTCGCGTCCTTGTCATCCTCCTCGAACGGCACTGCGCGCACACCATCCAGCCACGCGCCACGCACACCCACACAGCACCACGCACGCACGGACGCCACCAGGCAGCAACACGCAGCATCACGCAGCACCACACAGCACCACAGCAGGACAGGGCAGGTAAGGAGTAGGGCATAGTTTTGTGGGACGCAACGGCAGCGCACGAATTGCAGCGACTGAGAGCACGCAGTCACGAAAGGTGGCGCAAACTCAGAAATTCGCGCTGATCAGATCAGGCTGATTAATTCGGGCTGATCCCCACACCCACGCCTGACAGCTCTGTCAGGCGCCTAACAACCCTCTCCCGTCGCGGCACACCCAGCCCTAACCTGCGTAGCTGTTGGTGACGTCGATGCGGCCGCGCGCCGTTTCGCCGAGCAGCACGCCAAGCACGCGCTTGTGCGTGTCCTTGGCGACGCGGTTGTAATGGTCCACGATGCTCAGCAGCACCAGCGGATGCACCACCACCTTCTCGATCGCCAAAGCCTTCCCCATGCTGAACGCGCGCTCGCTCGCTCGCTTTTAACGCGACGACGACGAATTTATTGGATGCGAAACTAGGCAACGAGATTGACGCGCGGGTCGTGGAGATCGCGAGGGAATCGAGCGTGAGTCACGGGATCCAGACGAGGGAAGCGAAGGAGAGGGGATTAATGTCTGACGAAGCGGCCCTCGCAAGCGACGCTGATAAATCGAGATTCGAGAGATTAGGGAGAGACATGCGATACAATGGGACTGGGGAGGGAGGGGAGGGGAGGCAACCTCGACAGTGGTGAGCAGTTTGGGTGAATGAGGTGTACGCGATAGAAGCGATTTGTCTCGAAATAAATCTACCGCTTCATGGATTCTCGTAATAAATAAGTCCTTGGTTTGAGGGATTTCTACTTCCCTCAGGAACCGGTTTGGTAACATCACGAGTCTCGCGAGAATCGCTGACCGTCGCCCGAAATTCTATCAGGAGTTCCCTGTGTCAGCCACATGCCACATCCCTCACACCCCCTCCCTTCTCTCATCCCTCTTCGTTATTATCACTTTCGGCCGTCCACCTCTAGACCATTCGGCTTAGTTACGATTGAGGCCGTGGCTCCATTTTTTCACGCGCTCGTCATTCCCATTTTCCCCGTCGCCGCGCACCCGCCATGCGCCAGTCGCCGGGAATGTGCCCATCGCGGGCACATCCACTCACGCCGCCGCATCCCCTCACGACGGCAAATCCCCTAACGACGGCACATTAGATTCGTTCGCGAGAACCTTCCAGCAGGTCCCGTTTTTTTCGCCATGGCGCTGTGGCGGATCCAGGCGGTGCTGGGCACAACCCTCGCGCTGGCGGTGGGGTCGTTCAACGCGGGGAGCGTGGCGACGATGGCGGAGGCGGGGTCGCAGTTCGGCGCGCAGCTCGCGTGGGCCTTCGCCTTCGCGCACGGCCTCGCGCTGCTGCTCAACCTCCTCGCCATGCGCGTCGCCTTCGCCACGCGCCAGTCGCTGCCGCTCGTGAGCCCGCGCTGCCGCGCTGCTTTTAAGAGCTGTTTTAGGCTTTCCTGCCCTGATCCACGGGGTTCGTCGCTCCGCGCTTCATCGTCCGCCCGACACGCTCTCCCCTAGCCTGCGAAGCTTTCTGCCAGTTAGATCGCGTCTTTCGCCGCATTGCCCGCTGCCAATCCTCCCCTTCGCTGCTCCTTCCTCCCCAACATCCCCTCCCTTTCGACCCACCCTCCCTGCCTCTTCCCGCGTGACCGCTTGCGCGGCGCGCAGGTGATCGTGCGCGAGTATCCGCGCGCGTTCTGCCGGCTGGTGTGGGTCATCTGCGAGGCGTCCGTGCTCTGGTTCGACCTCGTCACGGTGCGCGCTGCCCCCATCGCCACCCCCCTCCCCATCCCCATCCCCACCCTTATCGCAATCCCCATTTCCTCTCAATCGCCTCGTCTCGTCCGTGCTCTGGTTCGACCTCGTCACGGTGCCCCCTCACCCCCTTTCTCCATCCGCATCCCTATCGCCATCTCCCACTCACCTCCTCGCGTCCTTTCCGCTTGCCACACACACCACCCCACCTTCCACCGCAACACACACTCGCTGCACAAACCACACGCGCCTCCTCCTTCCCACCCCTTCCCCCCGTTACCCCATTCTTCCCACTGTTCCACACACCTCCTTCCTCGCCAGGTGCTAGGCAGCGCGGTGGCGCTACAGCATCTGCTGGGGGTGCCGTTCAAGGCGGCGCTGCTGCTGCACGCTTCCTCCCGTCCCCCATCCTTCCCGTTTCCCCTGGCCCCCTCCCCCCTTTCTTCTCCCAGGTTCTAGGCAGCGCGGTGGCGCTACAGCAGCTGCTGCGGGTGCCTTTCAAGGCGGCGCTGCTGCTCGCTGCGGGCTCGGGCGTGCTGCTGCTCCAACTGCCCCTGCCGCAGGTGGGGGGGGAATGGGTTCGGGGATGGCTCCAGCTTTTTCTGCCTGCCTGCCTGCCTGTTTCTTCTGTCTGCATCCTAGCGTGTGGCTGTGCGCGTCACTGCTGTTCCATCATGCTGCTGCTCCCATCAGCCCGCTTCGCCTCCCCTTCTCCGCTGCCTCTCACACCCTATCACTCGTCTCGCTCTCGTTTTCCCTCTCCTGTCCCTTCCGCCCATCCCCCAGGCGCACCAGGCGGTATCAGCATGTGTGGCGTGCGCACTCCTCGCGCTGCTCTGCGCGGCCCTACAATCCCTCCTCGCGGGTCCCGCCTTCCTGCTCTCTTCGCTCTCAGCCGCGCTGCTGCCAGCAGTGCCGCCCGCCTCGCTGCACCTCGTGCTCGCCGCCATTGGCGCCCTCGCCCTGCCGCACCGCTTCCTGCTGCTCTCCGCGCTCGTGCTGCAGGTGCGCTGTGTTTCGTCATGCTGCAGGTGCGCTGTGTTTCGTCATGCTGCAGGTGCGTTGTGTTTCGTCATGCTGCAGGTGCGTTGTGCTTCGTCATGTGCACTTCTCGCCATCTAGGCGCCTCGTCTCTCCCACATATCAATGCTCATGCCCCCACAGCAGTCGCCCTCCCAACGCGAAACGCCCATGCATGTTAAGCACATGCCTTGCCTTCACCCCCCGCTCCTCCCCTTCCTCTCTCGGCCATCCACCCCCCAGGACGACCCAAGCGCGCGCGATCTCATGGAACCGCCACCAGACACGCCATCCTCCCCTCGTGACGCCTCTGCCTCCGCCTTCCACCCCTCCACCACCCATCCCCTCGCCCCCGCGTCCCCCTCCTCCGCCTCCCTCTCCCCCTCAGCCCCCCTCCACCTGCCGTCCCCCCAGCAGCAGCAGTACCGCCGCGACTTCATTCGCTCCCAGCTGCTCGCCGCTGCCGCCACGCTCGCGCTACTCCTGGGGGCCTCTGCTGTGGGGCAGGGCGAGGGGGCGGACGGGGCAGGGGCAGGCGGACAGGAGGATGGGGAAGGGTTTGAAGGGGTGGAGGGGGGCGGGGAGGGGCGGGTGGTGCGGCTGTGGGGCGTGTACCGGTTGTTAGAGCAGGTGGTGAACGGCAACGTGGCTCCCACCTTCGCCTCCCTCGCACTCCTCTCCTCCTTCCACCTCTCCACCCCAACCAATGCCTACGCAGGCCAGCTCTCTGCCTCCACCTTCGCCCACGTGCATCTGCGCCCCTGGCACCGCTTCCTCCTCACCCGCGCCCTCACCCTCCCGCTCTTGCTCCTCCTCTCCCTCACCCTCGGCGACGCTGCCACGCTCTCCCTCCTCTCGCACTCCCAGCTCCTCCTGGCGCTCCTCCTCCCGCTTGCAGCCGTCCCCCTGGTGCGTCTGGCGGCGTCCCCCGCGCTCATGGGGCGCCACCGCGTTGGGCCCGCGCTGGAGCTCGTCAGCTGGGCGGCGTGCCTCTCCGCGTGCGCCCTCTCTGTGTGGTTCCTCGGGGATGCACTCTTACGTTTTGCCATGGCAGAGGCAGCCGCAGGGGGGGCAGACGGGGATGATATAGGCGGGATGGGGCTGTGGGAGTGGGTGCTGGCGGGGGAGTTTCTGTCCGCGGGGGGAGGGGAGGAGGACGACGGGGAGGGGCTGGCCGTGGGGCTGTCGCCGTCCGCTGTGTGGCGCAACGTTCGGCAGCTAGTGGCGGTGTTTGGCGGCACGGCGCTGGTGGGCGGCATGCTGGGCGGGCTGCTTTGGCTCATGCTGCTGCCGCTGCGGTCAGAGGACGAGCAGCAGCGCCGCCTGCTGCTCTCCCACTCCGCCTCGGCCTCCCTCTCCGCGCCCTCCCCCTCCTCCGCCTCCGCCCCTACCTCTCTCCGCCGCCCCCGCCCCCTGCCACTGGCAGCAGCGCAAGACAGGCGGGGCGGGGAGGCGCGGTGGGGGGCGGAAAGAGAGGGCAGGGCGGGCGCGGGGGGAACATGGGAGTTGCCTCGCCCGACTGCGTCCCCTGTGTCAGGGCCGCTGCCTGTGCTGCTGCCTGGCGCGGAGAGAGGGGGGGAGAGGGCGGGGGAGAAGGGGGAGGGCGCGGAGGGGGGGTCGTGGAACAGTGCACTGAGGAGGCGCGTGGGGGGGCAGCAGCGGCAGCATGGGGGGAACAGGGGGGAGGTGGGGGAAGGCGTGAGGGGTGTGGTATCAGAGGGGTTGGGTGGGTATGGTGGCAGCAGTGGCAGTGGCGGTATGGGTGGAGTGGGAGAGGGAGTGGGTGGGGAGCGCATGCGAGTGCAGCGAGCAGCGTCGGTGTCGGGGTGTGTGGCGGAGAGGGAGGTGGGCGGAGAAATGGGCGCAGGTGTGGGCGCAGGTGTGGGCGTGCAGGGGGGAAGTGCTAGGGAGGCGGAGAGGGGCAGGCAGGGGGCGGGGAGAGCCAGCATGCTGTCAGCGGCAGGTGGCGAGCAGTGGCAGGTGAAGGAGGGGGGGGCGCAGCTACAAGCAGGCCGGCTTGGTGGGGAGGAGCTCGCTGTCTCCGTGCGTGCTGTGGCAGCAGCAGCAACGGCCACAGCAGCAGCAGGCGCAGCCGCAACAGGTGCGCGAGTGGCAGCAGCAGCTGCTGCTGCAGGTGGGAAGGCAGGGGGGGAGAGGAGGGGAGAGGGCGAAACGGGTGTGGGAGGGGGAGAGGCGGTGTTGGCACCGGGTTTTGAGGCGCCTCAACAAGCGGTGCTGGCACCGGGAGTGGCGGGCGAAGGGCGTGTGGGCGACCCTGTGGTGCTGCCGGGCCCCCCACAGGTTGTACCCCCACTCATTGCCCCCACACCGATTGCACTGGCACCGGCTGCACCAGAACTGGTTTCATCTGCTGAGAAGGTTTCATCTACTGAGAAGGTTTCAGCTGCTGAAACAGTTTTATCAACTGACATGGTTTCATCTGCTGAAAAGGTTTCATCTGCTGAGAAGGTTTCATCTGTTGAGAAGGTTTCATCTGCTGAGAAGGTTTCATCTGCTGAGAAGGCTTCGTCTGCTGACAAGGAAGGGGTGATGCGAGTGGAGGGGAGCGAGGAGACAGCGCAGGAGGAGAGCGGCGAGGAGGGGAAGAATGGTGGGGAGGGGGGCGGAGGCAAGGAGGAGGGGGTTGTGGTTCCGTTTGACAGAGCGGTGACTCTGGCGGATGGCGTGGCGGGTGTACGAGATGGCACAGGTGGGGGCACTGGGCTGGGCGATAGTGTTGGAAGGGCAGGGGCGATTGGGGGGGGAACAGCGGGGCTTGGGGAGCCGGGCGAGCAAGTGGGGATGGGCACAGAGCAGAGGGGCAGGGAGTGTGGGGAGGCGGCGAGGGGGGAGGGCGTGGTAGGTGCGGATGAGGTGAGTGAGGGGATGCGCGTGGTAGAGAGGGCAGGTATGGAGACAGGGCGTGCGGGACAGGGAGGCGAGGGAGGGGAAGGAGCGGAAAAAGTAAAGGGAGGGGAGCGAGGGGAGGGATGCGGGGAGAGAGAGGAGAGTGGGGAAGGCGGAGAAGCAGATACGGAAGCGAGAGAGCAGCGCACTGAGAAGGCTCATGGGGAGGAGGGGAAGAACGGGAGTGTGGAGGCATTGAGGGCGATTGGGGAAGCCATGGAGGAGGGCGGTAGGGGCATGGAGGGGAAGGGGGAGACGGGAGAGGAGGGGGGGAGGGAGGAGAAAGGCGAGGGGAAAGTGGAGGTGGCAGGGGAAGTGGAAAGGCTAGAGGGAAGGGAAACGGAGAGAAAGGAGGAAGCGGAGGTGGAAGTGGGTGGGGAGCAGCGAGGGGGAGACAAGGTGGTGGAGGGAGGTGGGGGGGAGGAGGCAGTGACACGAGAGGCCATGGACGTTGGGGAAGCGGAGGGAGCTGCGGGAGCAGAAGAGGAGGGTAGCGCGGGCAGGCTAGAAGGCCGACCCGATGGGGAAAACGGAAAGGATGTAGAGGGTGGGGATGAAGGGGAGGAAGGGAAAGGGAAGGAAGGGAAGGGCCGGGAAGGTAGAGAGGATGGGACAGTGGAGCAGCAAGGAGAAGGCGTGGAAGAGGGGCGAGGGCAGACTAGCCTGGATGGGCAGCCAGAGGCGGCAGGTGGGGGGGCGGGCAGGGCGCCCATGGAAACAATGGCGCACTCCCACACGCCCATGGGCGGAGGGGAAGCGCGGGCTGGGGAAGGGGGGATGGGCGCGGGTGGTGGTGGTGGTGGTGGCGACAGTGGGATGGGCGAGCAGGCGGAGGGTTCTGTTGTGCCCGTGGGGAAGGGGGAGAGGCGGGGGGAGAGGGAGGCAGCGGAGGAGGGGCTGGAGGGTGGGGGCGCAGGGGATGCGAAGAGGCACCGGGTGGAGGGAGACGGTGGGGGAGAGGCGGAGGGCAAGGCGGGCACAGAGGGAAGGGCGGGAGCGGAGGGAGGTGCAGCAGCAGAAGCAGTGGTTGGTGGGGAAGTGGGGACAGGGGTGGAAGCAGAGGCAGGGGTGGAGGGCGCAGGGGAGATGGAGATGGAGATGGAGGAGCAGGAGAAGCGGGTGGTGGCGGTGGGAGGAGTGGTGGCGTTGGGAGGAGAGGTGAGACGGAGTGGAGGTGAGGGGGGTGCGGTTGATGTTCCCTCTGCTGCTGCAGTAGCTCCACCACCAGTCGTGGCAGCATCAGTAGCAGCAGCAGCAGCTTCAGCTGCAGTAGTAAAAGCAGCATCAGCAGCAACGGTTGCAGCCGGTGTGGCGGGTGAAAAGGTGGAAGGAGGCAAACCACAGCAGCAGCACCACACCCACCCCCAGCAGCAGCAGCAGCAGCAGCAGCAGCAGCAGCAGCAGCAGCAGCAGCAGCAGCAGTCCCACCTGGCTCAGTCAGCCCTGTCCAAAGCCCCACCTCTGCCCGACTCCGCCCCCCTCCTCCCCGCCCCTATGCCCCGCACGCCCTCCCCCCCGTCCGCCCAGGCTGCGCCCTTCACTGGTGCGCGCAGCAGCGCGGGCAGCCCCTGTGGTTCCGGCTCCCTCTCTGACCTTCTGCACCACTCCCAGCCGCGCCAGCACTCCTCACTGCTCGCGTCCGCTGCTGCAGCTGCCGCGAGGAGCAGTGACGGCGATGGGCTGGGCGCTTTGCCGTCTGGGGTAGGTGGCATGGGCGGCAGCATGGGCGGCAGCATGGGCGGCAGCGGCAGCATGGGCGGCAGTGGTAGCGGCAGCCTGTCACGCGTGTCTGGGCTGGGGAGGGGCGCTCGGAGGCAGTTCGCAGCCATTCTGGACGAGTTCTGGGGGGGGCTCTTCGACCTGCACGGCCAGCCCGTGCCGCTGCCCGCTGCCCGCCCTGCTGGGGGTGGTGGGAAGGCGGGGGGGAAGGTGGGAGGGGACGGGGGGAAGGGGAAGAGAGGTGGGGCGGATGGGAGTGGAGGTGGTGGAGGGATGGGAGGGCATGGGGGCGTGGGGGCTGGTGCACGCACTAGCATGCTTGGGGCTGCTGCTACTGCCACTGCCACTGCTGCTGCTGCTGCTTCCGCCGCTGTCAGTGCTGCAAGTGCTGCTGCCAGTGGCGCTGGCAGTGGCTGTGCCTATGGCAATAGCGGTGGCGGTACAGCAGCAGGTGGGGGAGCAGCAGCAGCGGTGGGCGGTGCAGGAGGCAACGCGGCCAACAGAGCACATCCCTTCCCACCGGCCCTCCCCCCAGAGGATCATCTCTTCTCCCCTGATCCCCTCCCCGACTCCCTCTCTCTCACCGCCTCCCTCACTCTCCCCGACCCCCTCGCCCTCACCGCCCACCGCCGCTCCTCCTTTGACACCTCTTCCCCCCCGCCCCCCCTCCACGACCCCTTTCTCTCCCGCGACCCCTTCTCCGCCCGCCCCTCGCTCTCCCGCCCCCCCACCTCCATGTCCCCCCTCCTCTCCTCCTCCTCCGCCGCCCACCCCTCCCCTTGCGCGCGCCAGTACAGCACACTGGCGCATCTCCCCAAGTTCTGCGACCTGCCCCCCCAGCAGCAGCAGTCGCTGCTCACCGCACCCCCCTTCCTCCCCTCGCTCTCCTCCCTCTCTGCCTCCCCCGCGCCTGGCGCCCCTCACAGGGAGGTGGAGGGCCCTAGCCGCTCCACCCCCAATCTGTACGCGGACCTGTTGGCGCAGGGCTATGGGGGGGGCGGGGGGAGGATGGGCGGGGGAGGGGGAGGCGGAATGGGGCTGGGGGGAGGGCGGGGGGCGTTTGGTGCGGTTGGGTCGCCGGCTATGGGTGTGTCTGGGATGTCTGCTGCTGCTGGGCTGCTGGGTGCTGCTGGGGCTGCTCCCTACACCCCCCACCAACAGCAGCAGCACGCGTCCTCCTCTTTCTTCTCCTCTCAGCCGCACCCTCACTCGCAACAGCAGCAACAGCAGCCGTGGCAGCAGCAACAGCTACAGCAGCAGCAGCTACAGCAGCAGCAGCAGCAGCAGCAATGGCAGCAGCGTGGGAACGGCATGGATGGCATGGGCACGGACATGGGCATGGGGATAGGGATGAATCAACAAGGATCAAACAGGGGCATGGGTATGGATATGGGTATGGGTATGGACATGGGCATGGGAACGGGAATGGATATGAACATGGGCATGGGCAGGAACGAGCGACTAGACCAATTGGCACAGAGCTATGCGAGCTTCGCTCCCCCAGACGCCATCCACGGCACCAACCCCTTGTCTCAAGCCCACTCCCATGCTCACCCCCATGGCCACCCCCATGGCCACCCCCACGCCCCCATGCACCACCTGCTGCAAGCCTCCCCCTCCGCTCCCCCCGGCTTCCCCTTCCCCCGCCACCCCTCCCCCCCTGCGCCTGCAGGGGCGCCGTGGGGGGGAGGGGCAGTGGGGGCGGGGAGAGGGGGGGCGGAGTGGATGGGAGACAGCAGCAGTGGCAGTGGCAGCAGCAGTGCGTTTGGAGGGCCTGGTGCTAATCACATGGAGTGGCAGCAGCAGGGGCAGGGGCAGCAGCAGGGGCAGGCGCAGCATGGCATGGGTGCAGTGAAGCCCATCGGCCCTCCCTCCCGCCGCCACCTGCCGGAACAGGACGACCAGCAGAGCAACAGCAGCAACAGTATCAGCAGCAGCAGCAGCACTCACTCGTCCCTGTGGGCCAGCAACCCGCGCGACATGCTCTTTGGCACCCACTCTGGCCCCCTCTCCTCCTCCCTCTCCTCCTCCCCCTCCTCCTCCTCCCCCTCCTCCTCCACCCCTCTCGCCGCCCCTCCCTCCACCGCACCCAACCACTCCCCACCCAAACCATCCCCCTCACCACCTCCGGCGAAACCCCACGTGCAAACCGACGAGGAGCGCCGGATGGATCGCCTAAGAGTGTGCTTGCACCGGTTGCTACGTCTAGACGGTAGTGACTGGCTGTTTCGGTATGACACGGGCAGTGATGAAGACTTAGTGGCTGCTGTAGCCTACCGGGAGAAACGAGTTGCCGGGGATGCTGCTGCTGCTGTGGCTGTGGGGCTGGGCGGAGGGGGCGGTGGGGGCGGCGGGAGCGGGAAGTGGGGGGGGATTTTGGAAGGGCAGGGAGGGGGGGGGAAGGAGGGGGAGATGGAGCTGCCGCCGTCGATATGGGGGTGTGGGGCGCAGTGTGTATGGGGGCCGCTGCTGGTGGTGTCGTTTGGAGTGTGGTGTGTGCATCGCGTGCTGGAGCTGTCTCAGTTGGAGAGCCGCCCAGAGCTGTGGGGCAAATACACCTACGTGCTGAACCGCCTGCAGGTGAGCTGTGGGGCAAATACACCTATGTGCAAATACACACACAGTTAGGCATGGTCCCTTGCATGGCCAGCACAGCAGCCCGTCCCTTGCCTTCACCACTGCCCACATCACCCCCTCCCCTTTCTCCCCTTCTCCACTTTCCCTCCCTTTCCCTCTCCCTCCTCTTCCCCCTTTCCGCCTCTTTCCTTTCTCGCCCCTCCCATCCCCCCTCCTCCTTTTCCCCCAGGGTATACTGGACCCAGCCTTCTTCCGTCCCCGCACTACCCCGCGCCTCTGCCTGTGCTACGGCGACCGAGCCAACCTCCCAGCCCTCTCCGCCCAGCCCCTCTTCCACGGCGCCCTGCTCTCCGCCATGCTCGGCTCCCAGCTGCCCCTCGCCAACCCCTCCTGGCCCCTCGGCGCACCCGCAGGGCAGCCCAAGCCGGCCTCGCCAGCTCTGTTCCTGGAGCGGATCAGAGAGGTGGAGGTGGCGGTGGGGGCAAGGAAAGGGCGCACGGGCACGGCGGCAGGGGACGTGGCGTTTCCCAAGGGCAAGGAGAACCTGGCCTCCGTGCTCAAGAGGTATAAGCGGCGCTTGGGAGGCCGGCCGTCGGGGGGAGGGGGACGTGGAGGAGGGGGAGGAGGAGGTGGAGGCGGAGGGGGGGGAGGGGGAAGAAGTAACTGAGGTGTGATGATACATGTCACCAAGATGGTCTTTTTGAGACGTGTAGCAGGATGAATGGTAGTGCAGTGCAGCGTAGTGGATGCAGGTTATGGTGAGTGGCTGGCACACACACCAGTAAACAATGACTTGCACTGCACAGGCTCAAATACCGGGAGAGTCAGGCACACGCAAGTACAGCAGTACGTATATGCTTGCAGGATTGCTTATAGTAGTTGCTTCTTCGCCTAAGGTTTATATAATACCGCATTACAACTTTCACTGGCCTAGCATAGCCACCACATTGTCTGCTCCCATTCTCCCTTGCTTGATCGATACAACACCAGGGCAATGTCACTAACACGAGAGGGCTCATAGCCTTGTGTGTATAGCGCATGCACTGTATGCATACTGTACAATGTGGTGCAAGGAGCAGAGAGCTGTACAATGTGGTGCAAGGAGCAGAGAGCTGTACAAAGAATCAAGCACCATGGGGAGGGGCGGCCAGGGGCTCACAGTGGGTAGCAGGGCGAGGCGCGCGGACCAGGCGTAGAGTGCGCCGACGAGGGGCAGCTCCGCCACCAGCGGGTCCACCTCGAAGAAATTGCTCTGCTCTGCGATGCGTCACACCACCCTCCTTCCGCTGCCACCACCGCCGCCGCTAGCATTGACGCCGCCCTTGCCCCTGCCACTGACACTGCCGCAGCCGCTGCCAATCCCGCCCGTTGCCGCCGTCCCGCCAGGCCTTGACGGCGCCGCTGGGACGTAGCTATCGTCGCTGTCGTCAGACACGACGCGTTCCTCGTGCGGTTCGAGGCGCAGCACGGCCACCATTTGCAGCTGGCGCGTGGTGAGCGGCGCGAGCCACGGCCGCACGCACAGCGTGCCGCGCATCGCCAGGCGATCCGGGCGCGTGACGTCGTAGATGATGTCAGCGACGGTGAAGTACCAATAGATTGCCGTGACGCTACGCAGCTGCGCGGACCATATGGGGGTAGATTGGGGGATGGGGGTAATGGAGAGGATGGAGGGATGGGGGAGTGAGGGGGATGGGGGAGTAAGTCTTCCATGTATGGGGAGATGGGGGGAAGAATGTAATAACCAGTTCTGTAGTTTATGGTTCGCGCGGCGTCCATTAATCGCACCCAGAGGAGGTTTTCAATTGCAGCGGCGGAGCGGCACGCGAGCAGTGGCTGATTTAGCAGCGCGGAGGGCGCGAAGACGCGGCGGATAGTGGCGGCCTGCAGCGGCAGGTCCGCGTTCTGCACGATCCGGTGGATCGCCCCCGCCACCTCCTCCGCCGGTCGCTCCATGCGCTTCCCCCCCGCCTGCGCGCCCCGCTAGTTCCCTCTCGACTGACTCGCCGCTTGCTCAAAAGGTGTTTGGGCGGGTAACCGGATCGCGACTCGAACGAAATCAGCCTGCTGAGAGGGGAAATCAGAGTGGATGAGAAAGAGGACGAGAAATTGAGAGTGGGTGAGAAGCAAGCAAGGACGAGGAGGGGTGTGGTGGATGAGCAGCGAATGGTTGGATTCGAAATGTCTGAGAACATTTTGCAGTCCTAGTCACGACGCCAGACATGCAACGAATCGAGGGTGAGCACGTGGCGGAAGCAGGAAAACTGGTGCGAGGCAGTGGCAAAATTCCAGGCACTAGTTGAGATAACTGACCGACCTGGTGTACAAAGTATTAATATTTTCTGAAGTTTACGGCACCCTTTACATCAATCCCTTTCCAATTCAATTTAACAAATATTTGCTGGCTTGCCCCTTCCCATCTGACTCCTCGCTGTCCCAATTGCACTGCAATCATGTCGCGCCGACCGCGCACTTGTCCGCGGACAGAGCTCTCCTCCGCTAGCGCTTCCCCCTCCGCGCGCCCGTTTCCGATTCACGGGGAGCTGCTGGCGGGCGTGCTCGCGCTGCTGGACCCGCTGCTGCTGCTGCGCGCGCGCCTCGTGTGCGCGGAATGGTGCCACGTCATCAGCTCGTCGCGCCACCTATGGCAGCGCGTGGTGGAGAGACAAGTGGCGCTGGCCGATAGGGCACGTGCTGGGGCGGATATCGCCACGGAGGGAGCTGAAGGGGGAGGAGGCGCGGGTGACAAGTGGAATAGGTCGGGCGGGAGCGAAAAGAAGGGTGCAGCGGGGAGGGGAGCAGAGGAGGGGGGCGGAAAGGCCGGGAGTTGGGGCGGGGGAAGGGAAGCGGGAAGAGGGGAGGAGGGCGCGGAGGGGAAGAGTGGAGGAGAGGAGGTGGAGGGGATGGGGAGAGAGGGCGTGCGCGCGGCCGTGGGGTTGGCAGTGGGGGCGGAGCAGAGGAGACGGTATGGGCGGGGGGAAGTGAGGGCGTGTGTGATGCGCGGCCACACCAGGGGGAGGTGAGCGGAGGTTGGGGGGGGTGTGGGTGGAGGTGGGAGGTGGGGGGAGATGGGGGGGAGAGAGGGGAGGTGAGGATAGGTGAGGGAGGGGAGGTGAGGGGGGATGATCGCAGGGGCAGAAAAGGGAGGTGGGCGGAAGTGAGCATGAGAGGCGATTGCTTTTGAGTCGACTCAAAAGCAGGAGAGGCGGTTGGTGCACGTGATGCATGCATGCATCCATGCATCCATCCATCCATCCATCCATCCATCCATCCATCCATCCATCCATCCATCCATCCATCCATCCATCCATCCATCCATCCATCCATCCATCCATGCATCCATGCATCCATCCATCCATCCATCCATCCATCCATCCATGCATCCATGCATCCATCTATCCATCCATCCATCCATCCATCCATGCATCCATGCACGCTCTTGATTCTTCTCCCATGCCGCTCACTGTGCCCCCCAGTGCGCCCCTTCCTCTTGCTCCTCCCCGCCATTGCCTTCCATTCCATCCTCCTTGTGTTTGCCCTCACCGCCCCCCCATGAAAGCCATGTCCCCTGTCCACTGCCCGCTCCGCCCTGCCCGCTCCGCCCTGCCCTGCTCTGCTCTGCTCTGTCATGCACCATGGCAGGGTGGGCAGTGTGGCGATGCGGCATGGCGTGGTGGCCACTGGCGGCTCAGACGATGTAAGTCCCGCACGTACCCCACACACATGTGCGCCCTCCCCATGCACATGGGCAGTGCACAATCATCTTGCCATCTCTTACCATGTCATGTCCCAACGCTACCTATCTCTTCCCATGCTGTGCCTGTGACTGCCCTCCCCATGGGCTCCTCCCATTCTCAGTGACTCACTGCCTCCCCATCCCTGTCCGCCTCTTCCTATGTGCCCTCTTCCTATGTGCCCTCTTCCTATGTGCCCTCTTCCTATGTGCCCTCTTCCTATGTGCCCTCTTCCTATGTGCCCTCTTCCTATATGCCCTCTTCTGCAGTGTGTGCGTCTGTGGCAGGTTCCCGCACGCCCCGCTCTCTCCTCCGCGTATGTTTCTGCCTCCTCCTCACCTTTCTCCCCGCCTGCCTGCTGTCAGACGGCTTGCTTCCCCTCTCCAGCTGCTCAGCCCATCACAGCCGTTGATTTAACCGACATCATGGTGAGCCCATGCCGTTGATGGGCCTACACCCATGAGCGTCTGAATGGCAGTGCTCCCTGGATCTATCCGTCCTCTGCCTTCCTTTTTCTCCAATTATCCTTCTTCCCTCCCTTGCTCCTTGCTCCTTCCCTCCCTCTCTCACCTCTATCGTCTTTCTCATATGCCGCATCACTCTCATCCCTCTCATCTCTCGCATCTCTCTCATCTCTCTCATCTCTCTCATCTCTCTCATCTCTCTCATCTCTCTCATCTCTCTCATCTCTCTCATCTCTCTCATCTCTCTCATCTCTCTCATTTCTCTCATCTCTCTCATCTCTCTCATCGCTCTCATCTCTCTCATCTCTCTCATCTCTCTCATCTCTCTCATCTCTCTCATCTCTCTCATCGCTCTCATCTCTCTCATCGCTCTCATCTCTCTCATCTCTCTCATCTCTCTCATCTCTCTCATCTCTCTCATCTCTCTCATCTCTCTCATCGCTCTCATCTCTCGCATCTCTCTCATCTCTCTCATCTCTCTCATCTCTCTCATCTCTCTCATCTCTCTCATCTCTCTCATCTCTCTCATCTCTCTCATCTCTCTCATCTCTCTCATTTCTCTCATCTCTCTCATCTCTCTCATCGCTCTCATCTCTCTCATCTCTCTCATCTCTCTCATCTCTCTCATCTCTCTCATCTCTCTCATCGCTCTCATCTCTCTCATCGCTCTCATCTCTCTCATCTCTCTCATCTCTCTCATCTCTCTCATCTCTCTCATCTCTCTCATCTCTCTCATCGCTCTCATCTCTCTCATCTCTCTCATCTCTCTCATCTCTCTCATCTCTCTCATCTCTCTCATCTCTCTCATCTCTCTCATCTCTCTCATCGCTCTCATCTCTCTCATCGCTCTCATCTCTCTCATCTCTCTCATCTCTCTCATCTCTCTCATCTCTCTCGTCTCTCTCATCGCTCTCATCTCTCTCATCTCTCTCATCTCTCTCATCCCTCTCATCCCTCTCATCCCACTCATCTCTCTCCTCTCTCTCCTCTCTCTCATCTCTCTCATCTCTCTCATCTCTCTCATCTCTCTCATCTCTCTCATCTCTCTCATCTCTCTCATCTCTCTCATCTCTCTCATCTCTCTCACCTCTCTCATCTCTCTCATCTCTCTCATCTCTCTCATCTCTCTCACCTCTCTCATCTCTCTCATCTCTCTCATCTCTCTCATCTCTCTCATCTCTCTCATCTCTCAAAACCCTAAACCCTCCCCTCCCCACATCCGAAGCTCCTTGCAGCATCCGGCTCGCAGGTCTTCGCGTGGAACAAGGAGACCGGGAAGCTGCTCAGAAGCTTCGGTGGCCACCATCAGCGCATTCGCACGATGAGGTCAGCACATTCCACCACTTCAATCCTTATCCTTCCAACACCCTGCTACCTGCCTGCACTCCTTGCGCATGTTCACGCCTGCATTCAAACACCGTCGCACCCCTCTCACTTCTCTATCCTCTCACCACTCTCTCCTCTAACCTCTCTCCTCTCTCTCACCTCTCTGCCCACATGCATGTGCATACATGTGTACATGCAGCTACGATGACACGGACCTGCTAGCAGCATGTAGCGACGGCACTGTTCATGTGTACGACATATACAGTGGCATGACCACCCACATCCTCCGCCCACACGCTCGGGCGCGCGGTGGGGCGGCAGCCATGAGCTACAGTGCCACCATGGGCCTGCTGCTGTCGGGCGGCACGGACGGCACGGTTCGTCTTACTGACTGCCGCTCCTCACTGCAATTGCACACCCTTCTCTTCACCGACCCCACCCCAGGTAGCACCTATGCTGAATAACACTTCCCCAGTCACTAGCACCTGCGTTAAATACCACCCTTCCCAGGTACCACCATCCTACATCCCCCTATGGCAGTCCGTAGTCCGTTCTGCAGGGTCTCACGCTTTTATTAAGGAGGCTTGGAATGGCAACTGGCACTCAGCACTGTTAATGAGTCACCATGCCATCCCCCCACCCCCCCCGCAGTGACCTCTGTGCTTCTCTCCGCTCCAAGCCACCGAGTGATGGCAGCTTCCGCATCCGGCCACCTGCGAGTATGGGACCTCAGGTGGGTCTTATGTAGAGTGTGCCTTAGAGAGTTCTTAAAAGAGGACAGGTGGGAGCAAGCATCTGACCTGTCAGCCATCGAAGAGGACAGGTGGGAGCAAGCATCTGACCTGTCAGCCATAGAAGAGGACAGGTGGGAGCAAGCATGTGACCTGCGAGTGTGGTGTGGGACTGCAGGTGGGTGGGTAGGGGAGGTTAGTGGGGCTGTCTATCGGTGAGCGTTCTCTCAAACCTTTCAGTCCCCATTTCGATATTCATGACATGCACCTCTCGCCTGCCCTTCCTCTTCCTCCCGCTTCCATCCCTCTTACCATCCCATCTCCCCCCCCCCTCCCCCCCTTCCGCAGGTCCCCCTCTCGCACTCTCATGGATACCACCATCTCCTCCCCCACCCACACCACACTCGCCCTCCCCTCCTCCCCACTCGCGCTCCCGCCTGTTCTGCTGACAGCTGGCACCACGGGATTGGTCCAAATCCTGGACGCCGCCTCCCTCACTCCCCTTCGCCGACTGCCCCGCCCGCCACTCGCTGAGCTGGCACTGGGCAGCGGAGCAGGGGTTGCAGTTGAGGTGGATGGGAGTGGTGGGACAGGAGAGGGGCAGGGATTAATGCGAGGAACAGGGTGGGGCATGAGGGAAGGTGGGGAAGAGAAGGCGCAGAGCCAGGGTGGGCAGAGGGGTGGGGGCAGCGTGGAGGTGCATGCTTTGATCGGGGGAAACGGGGCAGCTGCTGGTGTGAGCGGTAGGGGGGTGTCGGGAGGAGTGACGGCTGGGGTGACTGGTATCGCTGCAAGAACATCCACCTTTGTCACATCGCATGTCGATGGAACTGCAACCTTATGGTTTGCTGTTTTGTAGTGCTGTGATGCAACAAATTAAGCCCCATACCATAGACATTTTGCTGGTTTGTAGTGCTGTGATGCAACAGATTAAGCCCCATACCATAGACATTTTCGTCCTGGGTGTAGGGTTTCAGGAGTTATGTATACTCAGCATTCGGTGCGGGGCAGCAAACCAAGCTCTTCACATGGACTGGTAAGCAAACAACCCTCTACCAAAGATATTACCGTATCTGAACATTTTTTCTTCAGAGTTTGCAAGATGTTTAGCCAACACGGGCATGGGCCACATGCGAGCAACATACCAACTCTCACGAGTGATGTAAGGAATTTTCCCTAATTCCTTACTGAGTCACACCGTACGCGTATAGACCCCAACATTTCGGAGTTCAGGCTCGGTCCGACAACCTCGCCCTCCGAACCATCATCGCGTCGCCTTCGAGTTTTCCTAAACCCGAACCTGCACCCAGCCATCCGCGGTCCCGCTATCTCGGCCTAGCTAGCAGTGGCTATGTAAGTGCAAGGCCTCATTATTTGCTCAGTAGTTATCACTTCCGCGTTATTGAATCCTGCGCACTCTCTTCACTACAACTCATAACAGCTGGTATCAGAGCTACTTTCCTAGGTTACCCTCGCGTTTCCGGGGTAGTTTGTGTAAGGGGAGCGATATACTTAGTGGGCTGCAAAGCGGTCGGCCTGTGAAATAGGTACGATTATTTCACTCCGACTTCAATAGTGTTTGCGCCTTCACTAAAAGTCATAAAAATCGCTAACCACCCCCTGCCCGTCCGACGAAGCCTGCGAAATATGGACCAGGCGGAGTTGAACGACTTTATACAACAGTTTCGGGCGATGTAGGCCAACATGCAGACGATGTCTGTGGAGGTCGAACGCCTGAGGAAGGAAAACGCCGAACAACACCAGGCGTGTGGTACAGCGCGCCAAGAGTCGCCCGTCGTGGATGAAGCAAGTAGTAGCTCCACGCCGAACGAGGCCGTCTTCAGCGAGCTCGAGAGCTCCATGAATGCTGCAGAAGAAGAGCGGGCGCATCAGCAACAGTCATGAGCATTGCCGATACATGCACCAGCGACAGCAGCGGCGACAGTTCCAACGGCAGTGACAGCTTCAACAACTGTCAAGATCAAGCCGACGAACCCGCCCCCATTCAACCCGAGTGACATGTTTGTCACTGTTTCTGCATGGTTGTTTGGTGCGGAGGTGTTCTTTAATGCTGCGATGATTAACGATGATGCCACCCGCATTAATTTTGCAGTTTCACTATTACGAGAGCCTGAGTTGGAGTGGTGGCGACGCACGCTGCAAATCGAGGGGACTTCGGCAGGAACAACACGTGCGAACGACGGAACCTCGACACCTGTCACGCAACGAGCAGCTTCGATTTTCGGAACAGCCACGATACGCACATGGAAGGAGTGGGGCGCCGCCTTGCGAGCCAGATTCGAGCACATATCCGCCTCAGACTCTGCCCGCATGAAGCTGCATGCCTAGAAGCAGTTGACTTCGGTCCAAGACTACACCGGTACGTTCTGCAACTTGGCTAACTAGGTGAATGATATGAGCGACGCGGAGCGGATGGATCGCTACGTGGCGGGCCTGAAATACGAAATTCAATATGAGGTCCGACGATCGCGGCCATGCAGTTTTAATGACACCGTCCGGGAAGCTGAGTCAACGGATGCACTGATGCAGTGGGCGAGACCGAGCTCCCGAGAGGGCCCTCGATATCAAGGATCGACGCAACAACCCACGATCAACGGTGTGGATGCGCCAAGCCGAGTCATTGGGCAGTGCTTTGCATGCAACCAACTGGGCCACCTGAAAAGAGACAGCCCGAAGCTGAAACAGGGAAAAAGGAACGACGGAGAAGGGTCGGGAAAAGAGACGAGTCTGTAGCAGGCGGGCGCCCTACTGACGAGACCCTGTCGCCCGACAATCACCATCCACACCGAGTTGTGATACCGATCCGAGCTATCGACCGCAATCGGACGAATAACGTGGGTGAACACGTGGACCACCCTGTGCTGGTAGTACGGAGGGTTAACGGTCACAACATAAAAATATTCGTTGACGGTGGGGCTAGCCACAGCCTCATCAACCTGTCAATAGCCAAAAAAAATGGGGTGACGCTGACCAGGTGTCTGCCGGAGATTGACGCAAGGCTGGTGGATGGGACACCGCTGGCCATTCGAGATGAAGCGCGAAAAATTCGGTTGAAGTGCGGCGACAATTTCGGGTTCGGCATGAAGATGCTTGCAACAACATTGGACGGCTGCGATGTACTGCTGGGACGAGACTGGCTGCAATGATACAATCCGACGATCGACTGGACAACGGGGGCATGCACCGTGCGAGGAAATACGGGGCAAATGACGCTTCCGAAATGGACGGACCCGGAGCCGGTGACTACACGTGTCAACGCTGTCACCATGTGGCGAGCGATATGCAAGGGTGCACAAGGCTACGCTGTACACCTGTACGAGGTAGCAACCTCCGAAAAAATCGCGGACATCGACACGCTCTGTCAGGCAGTTCCTGGGGAGCTGGCAAGCATCATTCGGAGGTATCCCGACATTTTCGCGGATGACCTACCCGAGGGCCTGCCACCTCAACGTCCGGAAGATCACAGGATACAGCTGGAGCCCGGCGCGCAACCAACTGTTCGAACACAGTGGCGGCTCAGCCAACCAGAGCTTGAGGAGTTGAGGAGCTAACTGGACTACCTTCTCGCAAAAGGTTTTATCCGGCCGAGCACGTTACCATTCGCAGCACCCATACTGTTCACGTCGAAGAAGGACGGAGGCCTACGCATGTGCATTGACTATCGAGCGCTGAATCGGGTCACGATCAAATCACGTTACCCGACCCCGCGAGCGGACGACCTGCTGGACCAGCTTCGCGGGTCTCGCTATTTCTCGAAGATCGACTTGCGAGAGGGCTACCACCAAATTCGCGTGTTCGCCGACGACTGCCCGAATACCGCTTTTCGCACACGCTACGGCAGTTACGAATACACCGTGATGCCTTTCGGCCTGACAAACGCGCCCTCGACATTCCAGTTAACCATGAACGGGGTGTTTCGGGACATGCTGGATAAAAAAGTTATCGTCTACCTCGACGATATCCTGGTGTACAGAAAAACAAAGGAGGAGCATTTCAAGGATCTGGAGGTGTTCCGGCGCTTACAACAGAATCGGCTGATTACGAAGGGCTCTAAGTGCGAGTTCCTAAAGCCGGAACTGGAGTTTCTGGGGCACGTGGTTTCCGGAGATGGCATTGAAATCGACCCTCGAAAGGTGGACGCAATCGCTAAGTGGAACCCGCCGACTACTATCAACGAGCTGCAGAGCTTCCTGGGGTTTGTGAATTACGTCCGTAGATTTGTACCCAACATGGCAGGGGTAACCAAGCCTCTAACCGACCTGCTGCACAAGGATACGTCCTTTCAGTGGGGGGAGAAGGAACAATCTGCATTCGACACCCTCAAAAGTATTTTGAGTTCACCCCCGGTCCTCCGCCTCGCCGACCCATCTCGACTGTTCGAAGTCATCACGGACGCCAACGATTTCGCTGTTGGCGCCGTCCTTCTACAGGATTTCGGCAAAGGGCTGCAACCCATCGCGTATGAATCACGCAAGATGCAGCCACCCGAGCGCAACTACCCAGTCCACGACAAGGAAATGCTGGCCATCGTCCATGCATTTCGTGTCTGGCGCTGCTACTTGACGGGAGCCGACGTGACGATCAGAACCGACCACAATATCTACGAAGCCAACCCACCCTCAACCCGCGACAAATCAGGTGGTTGGACTACCTGGAATCCAACTTCAACTACACCGTCACGTACAAGAAAGGCGCCAACAACATCGCCGGCGCCTTGACACGACCATCCATGCAAATCGCAGCTGTACTAGTCGCCCGCACCAACCCGATTTTAACAGGACTATTCACCCACGGCTACACGATCGTCAGGTTCTTCAAGACTCTTCACCAACGGACTACGACACCGCACAAGAAATATTACCTAAAAGCCGGTACGAACCGGATTTGGGTCCCAGCATACCAACCCCTCCGGGAGCTGCAGACGCAGGAGGTTCATGACTCCAACCTCTCCGGGCATTTCGGTATCGACAAAACACTCAAGCTGCTGCAAAGGAATTATTATTGGCCCGACATGCTAACAGACGTGCAGCGCTACGTGACAACATGCCCAACCTGCCAAGCCATGAAGTCGTTGCGACAACGACCAGTTGGATTGCTGCACCCCCTCGAGCCACCCGAACGACCGTGGCAACAAGTGACGATGGACTTCGTCACGGGACTGCCAGCTGGCGCAAGTGGCAACGACTTGGTGCTGGTCGTCGTGGACCGATTAACGAAAATGGCGCACTTCGCACCATGCCGAACGACGATCACAGCCGAACAAACAGCGAAGTTGTTCATCTCCACGGTCGTGCGCCTACACGGGTTACCTTCGGCGATCATCAGCGATCGGGATCCGAAATTTACGTCGAAATTCTGGCAAGAGACATGGGCGCAGTATGGCACACGTCTGCAGTTTTCGTCGTCTTACCACCCGCAAACCGACGGTCAGACCAAGAGAACCAATCAGACCATGGAGCAGCTGATACGCACCAACTGCCCTGACCTGACCAAGTGGGAGGACTCGGTCCCGATGTTGGAGTTTGCGTATAACAACGCACCCTCCGCCACGACAAAACAATCGCCCTTCTATCTAAACTACGGGATAGACCCCGTGGTACCCTCATCCACGACCCCCGACAATCCGGTACCACGATCACAGCAGTTCGTCACGGAACTCCAAGCAGCTCGCGACAAAGCAGCCGAGTTTATACGGAAGGCTAATACCGTCGCTAGCCGCAATGCGGACAAACACCGAAGGGACGTACCCTTCCGAGTCGGGCAGGTGGTCCTCTTGGACACGAAGAATCTTCGACTGCCCCAGCCTGCAAAACTCCGTCCCCGCTACGTGGTGTTGGA